ATGAATGTTTGCTTTAAAGAAGTCTACTATGTTGGAAGAAATCTGAGATAATCGATTGAGCAACATTATACTGTAAAGGTCGGAGTGCAATAGCTCAGTCAAAACTTGACCGAAAGTTTGACCGAATCTTTTGGAGATACATCTTGATGTTCTCTATCGGTTGACATCAAAATCGACGTTATATGTAGAAATCGGAAAATTTTATTGAAATTTTTAAAACCTGACACAAAGTCGAGGAAGATTTTATAAAATATTTTTGTCAAAAACTAGAAGCCGGAGAATCGAAAAACTGATAGGAAATACTCTTCAAAGTGTTCTCTACAAACTGAGAAAAAAAAACGGGTGAAGGAATCACTCCTTAAACGAGAGCAACCGTGAAACGAAATTTATCATTTTTATTCAAGTGTTAGAAATGTTTATTTGTTTGCTGTTGTCAGTGATATAATAATGTTTGATGTTCAAACTAGAAACACAACTCCATTCAGTAACACCTAAAAAATAAATAAATTACTAATTAGTTAAAAATCAGATCTCTCTTGTTTTAATTTAAATAAATTTAATAATAATCCTGATGCTTGTACTAAATCACTCGGCTCTATTATACCATTTTTATTTGCATCAATTTGTTTAAATAAGTATTTTGCTAATACTTTTGCTGCCGTTCCATTAATACCGAATTGTTTTAATAACAATTCTAGATCTTCTTTTGTAATTTTTCCATCTCCATTTTTGTCCAACATAGACATTAATTGCATAGGATTACTAAAAGCACCTTGTAGAGCAGACGTGTTAATATTGCTCGGTAAAGCATTGGCTGCTTCTTGTGCACTAGACATTGTTAAGATTATTAATGTAAAGTAGATGAAAATCGTTATCTATGGGAGTGTGTGCTAATCCTATTTCAATGACAGATGACTGTGTATGTGTTGTTTTTCTTTTCTCATTTTTCTTTTTATCTCTCTTCTTTATTTATTTTTCTTTTTCATTTTTTCTGTGTTATCGACAAAAACATACTCATATCTAAAAGTACTCTATTGCTAATATTTAGTAGAGTCAAATGCCCTAATGTGATCATGTCATTTTTTTATTTCTAGCCTTTTTGTAAATTTAGCAGTAATTTCTCCACATTTTATGAAGATTCTTAGATTTTTGAAGTAGAGTAGAGCAAATTCAAGCCCATCTATTTGTGTAAAAAGTTTTAAGTTCCTGTCACCCATTCTCTATTAATTAACAAAAACAGACATGAGGAGTATATTTTCTTTCCTTTCATATCACTTCCAAATTCGGTCACAATGTAAATTATTTTCCTTATTCGATCACACCCAATTCAAAAAAGGCTTCATTCTGTAAAAATCAATACATTTAGAGCTTTTCATTCATTCATCACAGATTAACTCCGAGACTTCTCATTGGATTTGCTCCCTACGATAAATTTGTTTACAAAAAGCTTCCCAATCAAACTCAAGGGCTTGATTTTATAGAATTTGGCTTTTTCAGTGAACAGGTTTGCTGTCCACTATCCAAATCATTCAAGTTTTTATGACTGACGGAAAAGTCGAAAGGAAGATGTAAGATCGACTCTTCAGTCCGCTGAACATCATTTTATATTACATCAAAAAACTATTGCTTCTCTCTCAGAAATATAAGTGGATGAAAAATAGCACCAGTCAAGTTCACTTTTCTCATCACGTATATCCGTGACTCTGATGAATATTTTTTGTAGCAGAAGTTGTCTCTATTAAGTACGTTTAATGTACTTAATCGAGACACTGTGTAACGTACTACGTTACGTTACACAGTGCTGACGTGTCGACGACTGACTCTGTTAAATAACAGTGCTAAACTACCTTTAGACGTGAGTGTCCTTTTGTCTACAGCACAGATTAGTTTATGCTGTTTTCAACGTTAGGTGAAAAAGAAATTGCAATAAACATTAGATTTAATTTAGTCCTGAACAGATTAAATATTCTAGATTCATATCAGAAAGTAGACGAGTTTCTTATATTTTCAGCTCCACCAAAACATTTTTTGGAGAATTTTCCAATTAAACATGCTGAGATGACTGAGATCGAAACGGGTCAACCAAACGTGACCCGAACCCGATCCGATTCGACCCGACTCGAATGGATCCGAAATATTTTCGTACACATTCGCAAAGAAACATTGCTTCGTATAGAAAAGTTATCTTAGTCAGATTGTTTTGAAATTTTTTTCAAAAAAATGGTCAGATTCCTTACGGTTTCTGTAAATTTTTTCTTTTATGAATGGAGCAATTTAGAATTATTTTTTCATTTAAGGAATTCAGGCAATTTTTCTTATGTTCACCTGAGTTTGAACGGAAACGGGTCAACCAATCATGATCCGAACGTGAGTTAACCCGATCCGAATCAAAATCTTTTACGTTGACCCGCACCCGACCTGATCCGTTTCGGTCTCTGATGATGCCTAGTATATAAACACTTAGTTTCTTACGCTCTCAAGAAATTTCTAAAGCTTTTTCTTAGGTTTTAAGCGAACATTGTGCGCTATAAATATGTGCTCATGCTGATTGCGAATTCATGTTTAATATTTAAAAAATCTTGTTCATTTATAAGTTGTTCGATTTTTATACTATGGTGATATTTTCCCGTTTCTTAAAATACAATCGCGATAAAACAGATTTGTTATCTACCAAAACGCTATTAATACAAAGTAACTGCCCATGTCATCAGAACCGCTAAAATACCGCCGGTTACCGCCGAGTATAGTGGGCGCTTAACCTAATGGACATGTGAAATTACCGCACGGTCTACCGAACCACGCGGTATACCGGTCGGTTGTACCGGCGGTATCAACCGGTATTTTATCAGTGTGAGCAAACAGTACAGGAGTTCGAATCTAGTTCTCAGCTTTCTTTTTTTTGCAGTGCGCATGCAACGCAATGAGGTCTCCGAACCGTGAAAACTTGACTCAAGTCAAAGTGCAAACTTCGACGAGTCTCTATAATGTGAAAGAGAAAGTTTAATCTGAAAAAGAATCAAACTTTTTTGACTTTTCTGCGTTTCTTATATAGACTGCCAACTGCAAAACAAAAAGGTGATTGTGTCAAAACGGTTTACCGACGATTTTTTCTTGTACCGCGGTCTGAAAACTACTGCGTGGTAACCGTCGGTAGAAGAAAAGGCCGTCGCTAAACCGGTCGTTTTACCGAACAGTGGGGTTAACCAGCGGTAATCTATAGACCGGTCGGTAACCGGCGGTATTACGAAAAAAAGTGCGACATGGGATGTTCCTTTCGATTCTTCTAAAAGAACTTTTCTCAATATTGAGGTGATATATACGAATATAGATAATAGTTAATAACTAGAATTGAAACTTGTATTCGTATTAATAGTATTTATAGCTAGACGTTTCAATTTATTTGCTAAATTTTCATCAGTAGCAGGATAGCTATAAAATACTATTTATACGAATACAAAAACAATTTTAGTTATCTAAAAGAACTGTTTCACACTTAACAGTAATACAATCGTATGGATACAAATAATATAATTAATTTTTATTTTCATGTAGTAATAATGATATTGCTTTTGTTTTAACGTTTACTAAGGATATTGACTACTAAAGAGATAAAAGAAGCTGAACCATATCGAATTCGAAGTTGGACAATACGTCGATGCAAATTTTCACATATTTAAAAATTCCAGCACTTTAGAAAAAATGATTACTATTTCCTTCAGATGTTTAAAATATAGTGCAAGTCTATTCATCCAATGGTGAGAACGAACAGGTTATTAGTTATAGAAACAGACAGAGCCTAAAAATACTACTGAATCGTTCGAAAGCTTCGCTTATATATACTCTTAACAGCTGTATTAAAATCGTGCGTTAGATTATTATATAAACATTTTACAAGTTTATTGACGAGCTTTGACATTAAGCTTCGTCATAACTGCGCAATATTCAAATAGCTTATATAATAAAAACAACCGTATCAACACCACGTTGAAGCATTACAAATTCTGAAAGCAACGTATGCCAAATGCCATCACATCTGAAATGGGCTGATGACAACCACTAAGTAGTTTCAGGACTTTGTCTCTCAAAAAAGTTCACATGCGCAAATAAAATTTTGACGAAGGTTACATTTATTCTCAATTTCTTCGGCATACATCTTCTACGTTTGACTTTTATATTTCTAAAGGTATCGGCTTCCGATAAACGGTTACAATTGAACAGGTGAGCAATGTTCGAAATATTAGAGACTATAGATTAGGTGTATGTATTACAGATTGTCAATGAAAACGTTTTATTTGAAGATAATGAATTCGAACATTGGAATTCTGTCATATATGATCGTATCCGTCACGAAACCCTGTAATATATATTAGTATATTAGTACTACGATGTCTATTTTTATCGAATTCCTGGAGGATACAGTTTTATCTTATCTTTTAGACCAATGCAAACAGTGTGTCACTTTTATTATTCGTTTAGTAAAGAAGCTCACTGCATCAACCGAAATTGCCAAGTGTATCTAAAAGTACAGTAAAGCATGTCGGCGAATACCAACGATTAACTTTATTCACCCAAATGATTTAATTCGATTGCGCCACGTCATAGTCGTTACACTGAGAATATCTTCCGATCATAGTTAGAACCGGAACAGTATCAGTTTGATAATCAATATATGCCATATAACGTGCACATGACTACCCAATTCAAGATCGATGCAGTTTGTGATCGTCAATTTTCCTAAAAAGATGCGCTGATCACTTGGTCTTGCTTGATAGATAATCGACGACAATGCTGATGCCCTACGAAGCCACATGGAAAAAACGTCTGCATATTATTCTAGCAGAACGAGTTTAAATGTGAAACAACTTCAAAGGGTCTTCAGCGGCATACGTTTGGCCCGGAGCACTTTTACCCAGTAACGGTGGTAGCCGGGTATTTTATCAAATGTTCCATCGAAGACCAAACGTTGGAAACAAACGTAAAAGAGTTTGATAACAAAAAAGACCTTTGTGCTAATTTTGTCAAGGACTTATTAGTTTAACGGCATTTTTCTGCATTTAAATGTAGTTCATTTTGTAGAAAATTTAATTATCTATCTAGTGAGATGGTTTCTTAGAACTTTAAAGACGTCAGATCAATCTAAAAATTTTAAACAATTAAATGTAGATTTCATATTTAAAACTAAATTTTCATTTATTTTAAACTGGATATTCGTGATCAGCATGAAGAACGGCGTCTGATGATGTATATTGAAGGTTTAGTCAAGAAAAACATTTTGTTTTACGTCGTCAAGTCGCACAATTGAAGAAAAACATTGAAAGAAACAAAGTATATGAAATTTTTGAGAATGATCTTGGATTAGAAAAGGATAATTTGAGGAGAGAGGAGAAGAGAATCGAGTTACAAGAATATTCCCAAATTTATCTTATAAATTTATTTATCCCACTCTGTTTAAGCTCATATTTTCCTGATCGATGGGGCACATTATTTGGGTTAAGGAGCGGAAACACGCAGCAGTATTAGTCCAAAGCAAAGCCGGTATGCTGCAAAATTTTCTGATCCTTATCGTATGACCTTTGTGAGAGATCCAATTTTCTCTTTTTCATAGAGTTTCTGCATCGATCGTTACGTTAAATATCACTTTTACAGCTGAAAAACTGACGAGGGAACTTCCCCAACTGATTCCTCGCTTTTGACTCCGTCTTTTGGCCATAAGTAGATCTTGATGAGACTAAGAAAACTCTAAAACCGTTTGTGCTTATGGCCCTTCGTTTCCGAGATATGGTC